GGACAACAGCTGCTGCAGACCTTTACCAAAAAATACGCGCCCACCGCAATACGTGAACACCCGCGAACAGTTCAACCTTACAATTTTACGAAAAAAATGGAACAGTTTGCTGTAGTCTCCGTCGTATTCCTATTTTATGTAAAAATAGCCGCTGTAAATTAAAATTTAAGGAGGAATGCAATACTTTCTTCAATATATCTAGAAACTAAAACCAAAAAGATTGTATTTTTTTAATATTGTGGTGTATTTACGATTCATCACAATGAAGTGAATGAAAAACTTTAGAACCATGAATAATATAAAAAATGCTATTGAAAATAACTGATCGAAACCTTTTAACACAAAAAGTTACTCCATTGTATTGTAAAATGTTTGTTCTCTCCCCGAGTGTAAAAGCAAAGTCATTGATGACGCGGCCGTTTTGGTGACACCCCTCGCCTGCCGCACAGTACATAAAACCCATTTATAGTACAAATTGACTAACAAAATGATCCTGAAATATTACTCCAAGAAACTTATTACTAAATTATAATTAAGTGGAATTCTATGAAATGTCCCGAACATTTGTACTTTAAGCAGTCTGCAGGAAATCGATATGATTGTAAGGGCAAACTATTAATGAGCGTAACTAATGGACCGCAAAGTTAATTAAATCAGAGAAGATGTGCGCCGCCGCCGCCGCCGCGGGAAATTACTCAATTAATTGAAGCTGCTTCGGGACTGCTTCGCTACAGATCACTCGCTCAAGCAATGCTCACTATTGCACAGACTTACCGACTACTGCTCAACTTATAATTAAACGTAGTTGAGAAGATAATACAACTTGATTATGGTTAATTAAAGTTAAGAGAGCGCTCAACGCCTCTGAAATATTATCCCATTTCTAAGTCTACGTTATTTTATTACTTTATCTTATTAAATACATATTTATCTAAATAAATGAAAGCACACACCCACACACACAGAAACACGCACTCTTAACAATCATTACATTACCAGCGATTGACGTGACGCGAGTTAGGACCACAAGTCCCCAAGCTGTCTTTATAGACAAGGCTTTGTTCTGACCCAGCGAAGCTGAACGTTGCTTGTGTATGCAATTACAGATACAATTCATACAGAGAGCGAGAGATACCAATATTGATTGCGATCTTTGAGTAGTTACGTTAATATACATTAAAGAGACAGATATGTACAACAGTAACAATTAGGTATACATTAAATTTGGTATTTGATGAATGGTCTATCGAATTGTTTATCGAATTTATCTTTTATTTTGTTTGTTGCACTGTGTCTATTTGATTGAAGATAATCGAAGCATAATTATTATTCCACACTGACATAACTTGTGTGTAAATTATGTACGTGACAGGAATGTTCACACACCTCGTGTCGGGGACGATAACTCAATAATGCAAAGCAAGGAGCGTAACGTTGATAATATGTTTTGGTTCTCTCTCACGTCACAAATGTTATTCCATATTTCGTAAGTGGCCGTCGAGATGGCGAACATTTTACATAAAATCAATTTGCAAATGACACTCGTCTTCGCGTCCCTCCGTCCCTGGGGATATTAACCGGCAACCCAGTTTCCATTATCCTCCTAATCTAGTTAAAAATGAAAGAACATAATGTATAATAATTCTGATATTTCGGAGACGTACTTTATAAGAAGCAGCATTTGTAGCGTTATTTTAATATCCTTTTATGTCCTTCCTCAGATAATTTACATTGTATCGTACGTTAGATATCTCAGTTTGGCTTTGTCGAGTAAATTCCGTGAATAAATCAATTAAGCTTTGCTAACTCAAACAGACGAGGAGCGGCTGCCGAACCTGGAATGTATCGGACGTTTACTGAAATGTATTTACTTTGTAATATACAGATGAAGGAAATAACAGAGCGCGTTAACAGATCAACAGACTACAGTGAAATGTTTAAAATAAATGAATACGTGCTAAAAATCATGTAATTATTGAGCATTTTCTATTACAAAAGAATGTTATGTGTATTTTATAATTGTTTACATTAAGTATGTGTAATATGAAATATAAACTTCTACTAAATCAATTCCAAACTTCGGTTTACCTAAAACAAGTTCGATGCCCAATCTACAGTTGGAATTGAATACTAACAAGTCCCGGCTCCACTCCGAGGTTGAAGCTAACTTCTATCAGCAACTTGCCAGCGCCCAATCTCCGACTCTAATTGGATGACCCAAAGCAATGCAGGAGCCACGATAGATGATACTTTGCATGTCGTAATCAAGTCATTAAGACTAGGTACTGCGATTGGAAACGGAATCAAGGAACGTAAAACAAAATCGCAACTGTAAGCAACTGTGAATGTGAACAGTTGAATCGAAGAACACTCGACAGTCTTTTGTTTTCATTTATGTTGTTTTTGTATCATAATGATGTAAAAATAAAAAGTGTAGAGTCAAGTTATGTTGTAAGTGCATACAATTGTTATCGCTCATGACGTGACAAAGGGTGGAGGATGCATTTAGCACTATTTAAGCATTCAGGGCACTAATGGCCCCTCACAGAGACAACCAGTGGAGGGCTGTGTACACACAGTAGTGCGAGAGAGCACTTGCGATGTTAGCACCGAGCTGTAGCGAGAATTTTAATAAACTTAATACTCGTGTTACATTTATGTCTTCGAAATTTCTCGCTTAAGCTAAACTTATGTTAGCTATGCAGCATTCAAAATGTTACCTTAAACTGTTTCTATGTTTTTTAATCAAAGTGTAATTTCGTGTTATATACTAAGTTTATTTCTAAATGTTTATATTACTTAGTTTTTACGAAATTTTGTCTTAAAAGAGCAACGCTAACATGAATCAATTATCCTTTACATAAGGTTCAATATCCGGTAATTCTGGATACATTGTACGTAGGGGAACCACAAAGCTATCAAAACCTAATACCGTCGGTAACAAGCAAGCTCGATAACAGACGGTCTGTCGGCCTGACATGTCCTAACGAACCGTGTACCGTACACTATATTGTTAAAAGAAATATAGATTTTAAGTTATCTTAGAATTTACTACTTTTGTATGATAGCACAGAATACATTTTTCAACCCTTACTAATAATATAAATGCGAAAGTTTGAATGGATGGATGGATATTTGTTAGAGTTTGTAGAACACATAGCTACTCACTTTTGTTATTTTTTTACTTCCTCGCTGACGATGTCGCGGACGAAAGCTAGTTAATTTATGAAATCCTTAAAAAAACAATACAGTTAGGCGTTTATAAATTGTAGACATTAAGCCTTCAGACGGCAAATTCCAGCAACGTGTAAATAAATGAATATGGATGCTATTATAAAATGTTATAGTCTCAAGTTTTTATTGTTTTAACGAGGTGTTATTAACACAAATATTACCTATTTTATACTACGTTACATTTTGCACATTTTAGGTGAATTTGTAAAGGAAGCAGAAAAGCCCAATCGAAAATTGAAATGCTGATTGGCAAGAAATAAATTATGACGGACCTCTGGGACGTTCTCGTATTGGCCGGGGATTAACGAGGGAAAGGGTCAGCCTTTGAAAAAAGGACCACCAAGTTTTTTTGCAAAGCCATGAATAATTAATGGACCGTAATTTTTACAGCTGGGTCTTTGCCGCAATTATTACTTGAGATTTAGTTCCTTATTTGTATCTATTGTTAAATTTTAACGTTTTACAAACTAACAGATTCTGAAAAAAAATGAGTAAATATGTAAAAGGGCTGAAGGTAAAATGATACAATCAAAGATACATCTTTACAAATAACTATATTAATTCAATATGTATTTGCAAGTTTACATAAATAGGTAACGATGATGATATACTTGGTATCGGATAGGTATAAACTAGCGAAGAAACTACTCATATAGGTACTAATGTCAAGTCATACAACTTTTCAATCACACGCTTTTATGTAGGATTTTTTTTAATAACATAAGGTGGCAAACGAGCAAGCGGCCACCTGAATCCGCCGAAATAGCGAAGCGACCGCTGCTCATAGACATCCGCGATTGCAGAAGCGTTGCCTACCCCTATCCGACTTAGGAGGAGACGTGCATAAAGAGGATACTTCCCCTTCCTATGCATCTCCTCCACCGTCAAATCCACTTCCTCTTCCCATCCTCTCCTTGTAAGAAAAGAGTGATAAAGGGAAAGGGACTTAAATTAGGAATGTTGACAAGTTATATGATTTACATCAAAGGGAATATATGTGATTGAATAATTGCCTTACAAGTACTCTTTAGGAAATGCTTTTAACATCTAATGGTATCTTATGCTAATAAAACAATATTGTATTGATTTTTTTTACTGGAGTACACGTAATAAATTTGTACGCAATAAATGCAATTTGATGTTTGTCGTACCGCTTCGTTCACGACCTTAAGTTTCCTAAAATCGATAGATTGGATGTAATTATTTAAAAATCTCAATTAAGATCGTCAAGCAATTATTCGTAAAAAGTTTGGAAACGATTTAAAACCAATATGTAACTTATTTTAGCGTTTCTTAATTTGTTCTTCTTCTTCTTAAATAAATTAATCTTTAATAGTAAATCATGTAAAAATGGGGCGAGAAATATTATAATATAATGATGAGTCATTCAATAAAAGATCGTACAAATCGCTTTTTACAAACTACACGAAACAAAAACCCACAATCGTTGTACTTAATTACCAAAACGTTTTTACAATTTTACATAATTTTCTTTGATATAAATCTATTTTTATTTAATAAATGTATTATCATACAATGTGTACTGACTAGAATATATTAAAGAAAATGTCACAAATAAAATTTTGTTAAGATGAAAATTATTTTTAAATTCAGTCTTGTTTGTAATGCATTAAAATAAAACACATAACTCTAATGAATTTTACGCTTTAAACAATTAAATAAAACTGATTCTTAACTTACATCAAATTAAAAGTAAAACATTATTTTTTGCCGGAGTTAAATTAGCATTAAAATTAAATTGAAAACCGCGCATTAAAAATGTTCGAAATCCGAAAGTAACTGACATTCTTAATTTCTCAGATCTCGTGTTCGTTACAATCAAAATATACGCTTCTGTCAACAAACACAAATAGGGAGGGAATAAAACTCTATTTTAAAACGTAACTAATACATTTTCTTACTTTTGTGTGATGTTAAAATACAATGAATTATAAAGATATTTGATTTCTATCATCTTAATAATGTGTGAATAATAAATCAGTCGAAATAACTTAACTTCCTTGTTACTTTATGTGTTCATATTTACATTAATCGAATTCAATGGGAATTAGAAATTATCATAAATCCATCAAAGTAATTTGTAATCACCGACATATTTTAAAATGTCATGTTTGAAAGATCACTTCAAACACAGAAACTTTCCGAAATTAATCCATAGACAATAAATGACATTGTCGACTGGTAAAATGTGCATGTAATTTCTCATTTCGATTGAATTCGTGCATGCTCCGGCCTTGTTAGCGTGTTTACTGTAGATTGGTGTAGTTAGCTATGTCCTTGCCAGTCCGGTACGCGGCCGAGAGGAAGGGGTCACGGTTGTGGTACTCCTTGCCGGAACGCGGCCGCAGCGTGCTCGTTGGCTGCCGGCTCACTCTGACATAAAATATGTACATAGATATATTTGACAAGGAAAACAGACAGAAATTTTTCCTTTCGATGTAAAGAATCCAAACACATATGTACCTAAGGGCGCTCGGGGTGTCGGAAGATGAATGCGATGACGTTAGCGAGAGCGTCTCGATGTAGTCCGACATATCGGATGTGCCGCTCGATGTGCTGTGCGTGTCCATTACACCTGAAAAAACAAGTACCAGATAAGAAGTTGTGTCTATTCCAGGTAGGACAGGAAAGAAAATAACAAGTTTCCTACCTTTGAACTGCTTCGGAGGTATGACAGGTACTTCAGCCTCGGCTGATGAAGATTTGGCAGGTATGGAGGCTTTGTGCACTTGTATCGAAAGATCTCTCAGAGGATCGGATGACTTTGATTTCCGTGGGAGGGAGGAATGCAGACATCCAGTTAGATTGCCTCGCATTTTCTTGTGAATCATGTAATGATATCGCGAGTGCATGGACGTCATGGGCATTTCAAATTCTTGGAATTCACCGCCGCCGCGCTTTAGTGAACAACTGGACACGCCGGAGTCATTCGAACTAGAGGAGTCCCTGTTGCCTCCGGACTTGCATGGCACACTAGAGGATCTTTTGATTTGGGCGTTGTCCATATGTTTGTTACGAAGATGCGGAACTTCTTTTGAGGAGCTCTCCTCAGAGGTTTTGTTCTCCGAGCTAGAAGATTTACAGCAGTCGTAACATTCCCTTTCATTATCACACGGCGATGATATTCTATTATCTATAGCCATGTTCCTTAATGTTTCCAGCGAGGAAGATGTCGCGTGACTTCCGATACTGCTGTCAAATTCTTTTAAATCTTCTAGTAATCTTGCCGAATCAACGGAGCTAGATCGCTTCTGCATAGCTTCTTTATTATTATTAATTATTTGACCTCGTGGTCCCGTAGCTACGCTCAGAGTAGGAATACTAACAGATTTCTCTATGTCTGCTCTGTGCAATCTTTGTATCGGATGCTTCAAGCTCTGCGACCAATTAGGATTAGGAGACATTGGGGCGTATCCAGAATTGGTACTTCTTACTATCTCACATTTTACTTCTCTTGGAGGTCCCATTAATAAATATTCATCACTTTTAGTCCTTTTCGATTGATCATTAGACAAAATATGTGGATTATGTACACATTTAGTACACCCACGCGATTTCTTTGGTTGTGTTGTTACCGCAAGATCGATATTTGCACTTAATGCATCTAATTCGCTCTGTGTAACTCCTGCTTTCTTTAACAAGTCTTTTGCGTTTTCATAGAATTCTAAAGACAGGGCAAATTCAAAGTTCTCGTAATTTGCATATGGACCTTCAAACTGTTTGTCGCATTTGGGTTCTATGTTCTGATAATTCACAATGCCTGTTTCATTGCAACAGTCGTGTAGACATTCTTTATCGGTGGCTGCGCTTTGTCGGTTAGTTTTACGTGACACATCTACAGTAGCGTATATAGCAGTGTCTTCCTTAATGTTTCCTGCTACTTCAGTGCTCGTTCTGTCTGTGTTAGACGTTTTGTTACAATAAGGAAGACTGATCAAATTATTTGCCCAATTGGTAACTTTTAGACAAGGACATTCTACTGGTTGCAAGTTTTCTTCACATTCAACAATTAGTGGTTTCTTCTTTGAACCAAACTTCAAAATGCAACCACACCTTTTCTTTAAAACAAGGTTTCCGGGTGAAGATTTATTTGTAACTTGGAATAAATCTTCGGTTAAGGCTTGTTTTAATCGTTTTGGGGTATCGTAATATTCAGCATTGTCGACCTGAAAATAATACGTCTTTGAATTCATATTTAAGTTGTAATTATAACAAGCAATTAATTTTGCGTATGTTATTTGATAAAAAAAATATATTGCATATCACTCACCTCGGCATGAGTAGTTTTAGGAACATCATAATTTTCATAGGGACCTACTTTGTTATTTGTGGGAATAGTATCATTGGCATTGCATCCACAACTTTGTGCAGGTAAAGGGGCGGGCGGTCTCTTTAAACCGTATTGTGGTGGTTTCGGTGGTCGCTGTGGTGGTCGATCTTGGCAATGGCATGTTTCTGTATTTTTTCTTATAGTTTTTGGTGTCAGATATTCAGTACTGTGAGAGGAGTTGTCAGAATTGCTCTCGGGGACAGCCTCCATCGTCCAAGCGGGATTGAAGTTTGTATTCGGCGACAACGCCACTGTCGATGACCGCGTCATCACGCCGAGCTTTGATATGCAGGTGTTGCAGCGCTCCAAGGTAACGTGGTCCGCGCCTGTCCACGGCGGTTCGGCGTTAATTTGTATTTCTGTTTTCAAATCCTGTTCGTTACCGCGTCTCTCATCGGAGGGCCAGGTCTGTGGAGGCTCCCCGCAATCTTCACCAAAAAAATTTTCCTCGTAAATTCCACTGGCGGAATCCGGCATTGACTGATCGCCAGCATTTTGATCAGACAAACGAGTGTTCGATCGAGACCTACAGCTACGTTCGGCACCTAAAAGTTTAGAGAAGAAAGAATTTAAATACTTACTACCTATGAATATTTTTTTTTATATAAAAGTTAAGGCAGATAAAATATACGACACCGGTCCTAGACGCAGCAGGGCGTTGTAGCGACAGGTTGCCGTGCGCCGCTTGGTCGAAGGCGTCCGTGATATCCTGCGCTTGGTCAGTGATAAGTAGGTGCAGACCCTCTCCCTTGCCGCAATGCGAGCCACCTTCGAAGCAAAACCGGCCCTCTGCAACTCCGTATCGTCTGCAAACAAATGCCATTTATTAATGTCTATAAAGTATAATACAATTCAAAAGCTTAATTAGATTTAAGCTTACCGTAACTGTCCGATTTCCCATAGGCCCAGCAGGCGCGGCGGCACCCCGCTAGTGAGCGCGAATCTTCTGCCATGGACGTGCAGCCTGGCGGGCCCTGCTGGCAGCTTTCGCGTTGCTCCTCCTCCCACCATCACTAGGTACTCTCTGGAGGTACCGAGCTGGCCGCCTACTTTCACTTGCCATGATATGAGCCTTTCGCGGGTCTCAAAGGCGAGCACCACGATGACGTCCTGGCAGATGATAGCGATGGTGTTAGACTCCTTGTCCAGCGTGAAGCCCGACTCGAAGCCGAGGAAGTGCTGCAGGGACAGGGACGCCTTGGTTTGACCCTTCTTGTAGCGATCCTTGGGGTCTCTGTACAGTTGCAGGTGAAGACAGTCTGAAAATAAAAATAATAAATCTAAATAAACAAGGCATGACAAAAAGAACTTCGCTAACGAAATAAATATTAGATATCGTCTGTTTTCTTTGTTCAATTTTCGAGTTAGTGTAACTTCATTACGTTTGCCAATTTAATGTTGAGTCTTTGTAAATAAATTTTCTAATTAAGCCGTTTGATCGGTGCGCCGTGAAACTGCGAAGGGACGCTATAAAAGGACTGACTTTTCTTTTTCGTAAGAATCGGCCGACCTTTGTTACCACAAGTCGCCGGCCTCGTTAACTCTTCAATACTGTAGCGCGGGGAAATAGCACATTCCGATAATTAAGATCGTTCGGATGGCAAAGGAGCTGAGGAGCTGAGGCCGCGCGGCCCCAATTACCGACTAGGACTAGTTCAATTAGACCGGTGCCATAGAGTAGGAGAACAGATACTCAATACTTTATTAATGTATACTGTGCTCCATACCAGTCGATCTAGGACACAAAAATATCTTATCTGTAACCTAGGACGCTCCTTATTAGGAGGATCACATCTGATAGAACATCTTTTAACTACGAAAAAATACGTTTCATCATCATCATCTCTTTTACACAATGCAAACATCAATTTTCTACATGTATCTATCAAGTACATACGTCATATATAAAATTATGATAAACTTCTGTTTCTTGTTATACTCTGTGACCGAATGAGGTCGGACTTCTTAGCAGCTCTGCTCGGAGCGAGTTAAGCTTTAAAGTAGTGTGCAGCCCGCACTTGTGAAAATCTCGCGCCGCCACTCCACGTGATCGGCTGTTCAATGGTAAAAGGATGTTTGCGAGAGTTTAAATGCCTCCAAATGAGATTAGATTACACAATTTATATGTATGTGTAAAACGTAACTTTAAATTTACCATTAACATTTGTTAAAAGTTTGTTAAAGGAAAGGTTACAAACTTATTAGATATTCAATAGTTTAAACTTATTAAGAATGCAGAAATGGGTAAAGATAAACCTCGCCACATACAAAAACCTAGATATTAACTATTGGTGAATATCAATCTAGCGTGTGTGCACCGCCGCGCAGGTCACGACCGCTGACTCGACACCGACGTGACGTCAGCCGAGATACCGTTTACAGCTCTGCTGCTCCGCCTCACTACCCGGAGTCACGTCCCGGCGCACTCAGTGCTCCTGACACGTCACTCTTGACGCTCGACTTTTCGTGCTGCTCGTAAATCACGTGAGATCTAACTGCATCCCGACAGGAACGAATACCTACTAATGTTGCACATTTTTCATTTCCACTTGCATCGGAAACCGGTTTAGGGTATAATCGATTATTTTTTTAATACAAAAAGATTAAAATAAACTGTAGATTTATGTTCAAAGTCTACTAAAGTCAGAAATGCTGATATCAAAGAGATATCTTGTTGAAGGACTGAGTTTTTAAGAAAAAAAAATCCATTTCAGATCGCGATCGTAGTTATATTAATTATCTCTTTCTAGACTTTTCCCTATAAAACTAACAGAAAATAATTTCGAGCGAATCTTGATTCAGTTTCAAGAGAGGCTTCAATTTATCCACTAATTAATATCTAAAGTTTCTTAAAAACTAAAAGCAAAGAGAGCTGCGATCGCTCTCGTGAACGCTACCAAAGGAAATTTCCTCAAAGAAAGCGTAATATCTAGCAACGGTTCAATAAACTCGGTGCTTAAAGCTCGCCGGCCCTCGTAAGCTCGCCTACAGTTTTAACATCCGCCCTATTTCAGTATAAAGTGGTCCGGAATTTCGAGCTTAAGTGTTTTTTCTATCACTTTGTGAAATAGAAGCGCAGATTGTTTCTTTTATTTGCTTTATAATACTTTTTAAACCAGAACAAAGAATTAAGTACAAAGTTCAAGTTTTAGTGAAAGCAAATATAGCTGTTTTCATATTTTAATCTAGATGTTTGTTGGTTTTACTGCAACTTTGGGTACCTACTGTTGATTTTCACTTCAAACTTGTCACTGAAAATGCATCGCTTTTGTTTTTACAATTAACCGTTAATTCGACACTGCACTGGGATGCTAAGAAAACTTTTTTAAACATAGCAAACGTATACTTTTAAATTATATATGCAATTATGATAATCTCCACATGCCCTCGGGGAGAGGAAGTTTAATAAGAGTACAGTAATTACGGGCCTCCTCGTCCTCCGCTGCGAAATTAATTAATATTCGTTCCTTAGTCCCACGCGCACTAATTTGCGGTTCTCTTAACGGAAGCAATATCTTACTGCAATACAGATTAACGAGTTATTACGTGTTTAATAAAATAATAATAAGCAATTTGCTGTGTTTGCGGCGCGGAGCCGCGGAGCAGAATGTTTCGTATTTACATACATATTTGCTTTGTACATTTATAAGCTTTTTATGAGTTTCGTGTATTAACTTAACTGAAGCTTTAATGAAAATATTTGAATTATGAAGTTGTAAAATGCTAGTTTTCATGGGGGGAAATGTAAACACAAAACACATTCAACATTTTGCAAAATAGCTGTTTATATAGTTACGGCGCTTGTAGGTCAAAGGTTACTAGTCGGTTGTCCTATTTTTCCTGTATTCCGACGAAACGCTGCAAATTAATGTAACTTTTTGATTTGCACAACTTAAATGTGTAAAACGCAAGTCATTTAGCTGCACACTTGACCCGTGCGATGCTGCTGCCCTCTAGTGCGCTTGGCGCGAACTGCACTGATTAAAGTATGAACTTCACAATTACGGGTTTATTTTTATTTTTAAACTAGCAACGGAAGACGCACATTTTGAAATAAACAGAGGCAAAGTTAAAGGTAAATGTTAATTACATGTTACTGTATTAATCATCACAATACGATACAGATTATTTGCCAAAATGGATCACAATACGTACGTAATAAAGATCATTATGATTTCATATAAAGGATACAATGGTCGTAGCTCCTTTGATGAAATATGTTTCACAAATTATTATCCACAGGCTATCACGTGAATCAGATTAGAAGCCCATCTATTACATATAATGAGGTCCAGAAAGTGCGCTAAGGCCGGATACTGCGGCGCAATCTACGCGCTCGGTAATACGTACCTAGACCGGACTGATACCCCGCTGCAGATGGTACAATATATAAGGGACAAGCGTTATTAAAAAAATATTTTAATATACAATAAGCGTATTCAGTTTTACACATTTTTATTTGATATCCCCTGCATCCTAATCTCATTTAAGTCTTGATAAAAGACTGTAGAAAATAATCAACGTATGTAAGGTTTAACATGATTAGATACAAAAAAAAATGTTTGTGAACTGGAATTATTATCTCAAAGAAATTGCTTGTTTGCAAAATTGCGATTAAAATAGTTAATTAGAATATAAAATAATCGCTCGGCTCTTATAGTTGGGGCATACTTAAAGCCTTAGCAAAAAAATAAGGTTGAATGTAGATAAAATAATATGAGCAGGCAACGAATACGTTCATTACGCGCCCTCCCTCGCCGGCTCCGGATTTACTCATAATTTATTTTATCCGAAGGTCAGTTTTTTATCGAAGTATAATTTGCAACGATTTTCCCAACGTAAATTCTTTTCTATTTTTCGCCCTTTCTACAACGTTGGGAAATATCGGAAAATGATTTCGATGTGAAAGAAAATCAGGTTTTAGGAAATAGTTTCCCCGTTATAACATCCAAAAAGTGTACAGTTTAGTCTTTTCGGATTGCAATAAAACCGATTTAGATTTTATCTTAAATACGACTGATTCAGGATTACATTAATCCCCAGGGTCACATAATGAGTGTGGGCGCCACAAATTGCGAGGAAGAGAGTTCTTTTACTTTTTCTCTGAGTCTAGTCGACGGCTAATGTATTTAAATACAATTACATTTGAATAATCAGTACGCCCAAGAGAGCTATCGGAGTTCTTTCTTCTCTAATTTACTCGATGTCGACAAAAGCAAAGAATATAACAAATGTTAAAAGGCTATCAAGTGGTTCATTCTTATCCATAGCACCATTTTGGTTTAAAACTTGTAACTTTCTTGTAAAAAGATCTTTTAGCAAGAGTATTTCTTTCTCAAACTTTGACGAATACCAAAACATAACAAAGTAAATACGAGCGTAATTTAGAGTCCAGATAAAGAGTATAATTCATGGAGTCGCGAACGATCATACGCAAGAATAAACTGGAAAAATAATTTGGTAGCTATTTGTTTAGGATAAAGAAGCTACGGTGCTGAGGTTTTTTCGCCGCCGCGGGCGAAGACCGCACAAGATAAATCTGCGCCGTCCTTTACAAACAATGCTTTTGAGGGATATTAATGCCTCCCCAGAGATCTTCTGATATCTTTTTCGTCATTCATTCTTTTGACGGGTGCGAAATAGATCCGGATAATTCGATATTTCGCCGTCGAAGGGTTTGTTTGGAGCCGCGCTCTTGTTATTAATGATTTTTGTTTGGAGTCGCTGTAGCCCGGGTGTTGAATGCGGACAATTTGTAACGCTATTTTATACATGTTAATGTATATAAAAATAAGACAAAATAACTACTCGTTCATACATGTTATACATGAATGGGCTAGCATAACCAACGACTATGACGTCCCAAATGCAGCTGATTAAAGTCGCTTTCCAGAAAAAGTGTAATTACTTTCAAAACATAATTGTATTTAAAATTACATAACTCTCGTAGTTTTCATTTAATTAATGTAAGCGAGACGAGGATCCGCGTGGAGTCGTAGCGGCGTAGCGACGCAGCGACGTAGCGTAGCGCTACGTGAGTCATTTGCTCAAATTAATATGCGCTCGATGTTCCGCCGGGGTATCACTGTAAGTAATGGATTTGAGGAGGAATTTCATCAACATGACTTTTTAATTAAATTGTTCTTTGTCGATATTTCAGCACATCTTGATATTTACTTCAGAAGTAAATCCTAATGTCTGACTTATTTGCACATTATCATTCAAAGTCAACTAAATCCTGACATGCTGACCTCACACTCTAGTGTCCTGTAAATCCAGGTAGTGTTAATCATATTTTCCTATGATATATTTTTTCGTTATTTACCAACGATATTTGACTTCAACTGGGCCAAAAATAAATGTAACGAGTGCTTGCTCGAACGTCGGTCATTACAAACCACCGCGTCGGTTGCTGTCAGCCAGTAGCGGAGACCGGGACATAAATGTAAATGAGACAACAGGTGACGCCCTGGTGGAATCGTAACTGGAATTTATACGCAGATGCGACGCCGTGTTGTTTTTTTTTCTGTCTGCGACTTCGTGATTAGACAAAATTATTTAAAGCACAGCTAATAACGGCCAAAATGTTGCTATTTTATAGCGTAAGTCGTTTGCTTTTAGAAATTGAGATGTTTCTAATTGTGGTGACACGATACTAAATCAATAACACAAAGGTCAATTAAAGCATAGCTTAAGCTTAACTTAATCTATACATCGTCGCTGGT